CTCTTCTTAGTAAACTTATTATTGTGTTGTTGGTGTTTGGGTGAAAAAAGGATCAAGCAGGCTGCTGGGTTGCAACATTTATCTCAGAATTTGCCTCTGGCATATTTTGTCTCCTGCCTTATCCAATGCACAGGTGGTTCTTCTAATGCAGAGGATTTTCAGGGGAATAAGAGGAACCCATGAAGATTACCCACCCCCATTCAGATACTGGAAAACTTCCAACCAAAGCCCTGGTGTGAACCACAAAATCCCACAGGTGGCTTGAAATATATCTAATCCATTATATTTGATAAATAAATTTCAGAAAATCCACATGAGTTTTTGTAGCAAAGTCACAGCAGTTAAAGTCCCCTATAAAAATTCTTTGTATAATGATTCACTTATCTCCCATAAGAATCAAAGTATTTTCTCCAAGCTATTGCCAACCCTTAAACAATTGTGCTGGCAAGATCAAAGTACTCAAGTTCCATCTAAAATATCTTCAGAATGTGCAATGTCCTAAAATGTAATTCATACAGTGGAATTGAAGAGAAAATTGATATTGCTATATTTTCTTTGTTTCTGTTAATGATGGCATAATTCCTGCAAGAAAAGAACTGTGAATATTGATGATGGAATTTATGGAAACTCATACAAGAGATTTTAGCCTTGATAGAAGTGATTGAAGAATCACGTGAAAACAAACATGTTGGGTTGTGGAAGATAGGTAAACTATGGCAATATGTTAAATGAGTGAAATAGAAAAAGATTGCTTTAATTTCCTAATCACATTTCACATAATTTACTGAAACCAACTTAGTTCTATAATACAAGAACCAAGGGAGTTTTTTTAAAAAAAAATCTCAATCATGAAACAGATACCAATGATGAAGCTAAATATGATTGATTGTTCTAGCAAGGACTTCAGATTAAGAACTGTCTTCATGCTGAGATGAATGAGGTGTCCTTATTCTTTTATTTCACCTTGTTTGTCACTATTGTGTATCTTTCCTTCTTGAGCCAAGCTCCTAGCAACCAGTTAATAGTGTAAAATTAAGTGGAAAAACAGTGTGCCGCTTGATCATAACTTGTGATGCTCACCCTTGAAGCACAGTTCCTTTGTCTTTTTAATCATGTAGATTAAATAAATTTATATGGAGGTAACATATGCAGTGTCCTAAAGCACAACCCTTTATGCATAACTGCCTCAGAAATTTTAAATTTCATTAGAGGCTGACAAAATAAATTAACTCAAGTTGTATTAAGGCACACTGGCTTAAAATGATCTCTACACTTTCTCCTCTTTATGGAAAGATGTGTGGGTAGCACAACAGAAGTAAATTAGAATTGTGTACTCCACTTGTTTTCTTGTGTTTGGTATATATTATATATGTGTAATACATTGAAATCACGAAGGGTGAAATCTTATCTTCCTTTCTGCTAATGATGATATTCACTCATGTGTAAGTTGGCCTCATGTGTAAATAGAGGGAAGGTTTGGGGCAAAAATTATTTATTTTGATATGACCTGTGGATAAGCCAATAATCATTCTGCAAAGAAGGGAAAGCACCAATGCTGTCTCAGGCCAGTTATCCCTGGCTGTCACCACTATTTCCCAACATAGATATTCAAAAGGTCCAGAAGTATGGACAAAGATAAAGCTCTTGCCACTCTACTTAGAGAAAGGGATAGTTAGGTTTTTTAAAAGTTTAAGTATAGTACTCATTCTAACCAATTATAGGACAACCCAGGTGTTTTGGGTTGATACTTTTGACTACAATTTCTAGACTTATACATGAGTATATCGGATGGCTTAGAAACATGTGGGTAATATGCATTTTCAAGAACTATCGACTATTGAATGGGCAAGCATGGGAACCAAATATTGGGTAAACCACAAACTTCAAGCACTCCTGTATTCTGCACTCTGCTCCCAATGTGGGTAACAGTATATTATGTCATAAGACAATAATGAAACAAAAAAAGGAAAAAAAAGGACAATCTTACAATAGAAAGAATAACCATAATAGATAGGCAACAACAAGTAGGGATTTATGCATCCAATACAAATAATGTTTTTAATTAAAAAAACACATTTATCCAATATCCTAGAAGAAGTTGGGGGGAAAGAAGTGCTGTGGTTATGGGTTTTTAATGTAGTAATGGATATAAAGATTTTTAGAAATCACAAAAGAAAAAAGGACACCAAGAAAGGGAGATTTCTGGGCACCCTACTAGAGATTTAAAACACTGGGAATTGTATGACCTATGGAAAATACAAAATCTAGGTGAAACTGAATACTCATATTACTCCCATAGATACAGATTGTCATCCAGAATAGATTACATCTTTGCAGCTAATGATTTGGTAATCAAAACAGAGAAGGTGGAATACCTATCCAGAGTGTTCCCATACCATAATCTGATACCGTTATAGTTAGGGGGGGAGTGGGTGGGAAAGGAAGCGGTGGAGAGTAAACTATTATATACTGAAAGACCAAAAATTAAGGAAAAGATTAGGTCAGGAATACAAAATTACATTTAAAAGAATCTTAAGGAGGACATAGCTGAAAGGAGAGTTTGGGACCCAGGAAACGTGTTGGTAAGAAGTTGACTAATTCAACAACATGCTAATTGGTCAAAAGAAAAAAAATGCAATTAGAAATGCTTACCAAAATAAGAGACAAAGAAAAGAATGAGAGATGCCTTAGATAGATAGGAAAAAGCACAAGTATTAGCTAAAGCCTAGCAGCAATATGAATTATTCTTATCAGATGAGTTATAAAGGAAAATTATGTCTAATAGACACACTTTATATACTCGAGTGTAAGCCGACCTGAATGTAAGATGAGGCACCTAATTTTAGCCCCAAAACACCTGGGAAAATGTATTGACTTGAGCATAAGCCGAGGATGGGAAATGTAGCAGCTACTGGTAAATTTCAAAATAAAAATAGATATCAATAAAATTACATTAATTGAGGCATCGGTAGATTAAATGTTTTTAATATTTACATAAAACTGAAATTTAAGATAAGACTGTCCAACTCTGATTAAACCATTATTCTAACCTTCTTGAATGTAAATGTGTTTAAGTATTCTTCCAATAATAATAGAGCAAAATGATAAATGTAAAAATAGAGTAAAATAATGTAAATATAATAATAATAATAACAATAACAATAATAATAATAAAAATGATAATAATAATAATAATAAATCTTCTCTGCTAACAATCTAAATGTATTGGTCTACTACCACACTATACACTTTTCCCTGTCTTACTGGCCCACCGACCATCAGAGTCAGTTAATAGAGCTACTCAAAAATGGAGGGAAACTCCGACTTAAAGAGTGATGGCTATTATCCAGACAGGCCCCCTTCTTATATTGATGTACCGAAAGACACACTGAATACTTGTGGTAAAGTTTAGACAGATTTGTGAAGTTTATTTGAACTAGAACAAGAAGGTTGCTTAGATATTAGGAGAGGTTCTAACTTGTATTAGTCTCAGAAGATTATCAAGCTGTCTCCTTAAAAGAAAATGGTTTCTTAACTTGACTTCCATAGAACTGTGTTCACTCACATGTGAACTAACTGGGCTTTTCAAAACCCCTGAGTCCTCCCTTCCAGAGGCTCCTAATATATAAGCATTCTGTCCATCAGAGGCTCTTTTAAAATGTAGCACTTCTCCCCAAAGGCTATTTTTGATTTTTCACAGAGGTTTTGTCCTCTGACTTTCAAAACACTTCACCACCACCACCAGACTTACTGCTCAGTCCCCAGATTACTCCTCTCTCTAGCACCCTCTACCTTCTGTAGCTAGACAAACTCTCTAGCTCCTCAACCAATCAGGCACCACTATCACTATTATATAAGGAGGAGGCTGATCCCTCCTCCTTTAGTTTGGATCAGGTCTTTTCTCCAAGGCCTAGAAATTTTTCTACACACTAGCCTGGCATGTTAGGCCCATTCCATTACAACTTCCATAGAAACCTCTATAAAAACACACAGCTACACAATTAAAAAATAGACCAATACCTAGCTGATATGAAAGGCCATAGGAGATATCTACTTAAGAAAGGGGCCAAATTGAAAATATAAATATATAAAAAGGTTGTACATCTTTTCCCTCTTTTTATACAGCATTGAATCAAAAAGCAACATAATTTCAGAATTAACTAATAGCTCCACAATCTTTTATTCTGTTGGGCAAGAGTTCTCGCACTATATTGACACTATTGTATCAGAGGTCTTTAACCATTTCCTCCTAAAGATTCTGCACATGGTATTTGCGATTTATATTTGCAATTTATATTGCAAAATAGTGACAGTATCACATCACTCTCAATACTTGGGTTCCCAAAAGTTATTAAGCTACAAGTCTCATATGTCCCAAACAACAAACATAGAAGTGTGGAAGTTGTAAGCCAACAACTGCAGTGAGCCATGTTTGCTTCAAAACATCCAATGCTTTTTCAGGCAAGTGTGTCCATCAGAATATCCAAGATATCCAGTAGAATTTCAAGATCATCAGAAAAATGTGGAGATTTTAATTCACCTAGAATATCTAAGAAATTTCAAAGGAAGTACATTTCAAAGTAAACGATATCAAAGGGAGCTAATGTGAAGATTTCTATTTATATAAAATATCAGAGATATTTCAAAGGAAGCAAATTTTATGTGAGCATTCCTCAACATCCTATAAAGATATTATATTTGCATTAAGAGAACAATCAACACCTGGTTCAATCTCACATAGCAGTAAAACAGATACACATGCACACAAACCAGGATGCACTTGGATATCTCTTCCTTTGTGAAACATCCAAGAAATTTCAAAGGAAGTTCTTTGTTCTTTAAGATGAAGTCTTATTTCTATCAAAGATATATAAGTATGACATCTCTTCCAGAAATTTAATAGTCAAATGAACAAGATTTATCTTCAACATATCAATGGCAAATCAACAAGAACAATCAAGAAATTTCCCATCAATGTTGCTTGTATTTATTTCTTTTAGGTCCCTTTTGTGAAGAGCAGGTGGAATCTTGTGTTTCTCAACCATGTCAGAATGGAGCAATATGTTACAATACTCCATCTAGCTATATTTGTGATTGTCCAGCTGGATTTCTGGGTCAGGACTGTGAAACTGATATTAATGAATGCTTTTCAAGACCATGTCAAAATGGAGGCACCTGCACTGACATGCCAAATGTGAGTATTATTTGTAAGATAGCATATTCAAAAAAAAGGAAAATGCAAATATATGTGGCTAATCCCTAGTCAAATGTTTGGAGTAGTCCCATTATATATTAAAATTAATTCCCACTGCACTCCCCACATTAAGTGTTCACAGGTACAGTGTTCAAAGATATAGTCATGTTAGCCTGGAATATCAGTATGTGCAGGGATTTTCTGTCACATTAAAGACCAAGGGCCCTTCCACACAGACATATAACCCAGAATATCAAGGCAGAAAACCCCAAAATATATGCTTTGAAATGGGTTATCTGAGTCCCCACTGCTATATATTCAAAGCAGAAAATGTGGGATTTTATTATTTTATTCAGCTGTGTGGAAAGGGCCTAAGAGAATGAAGATGATAACATCAACTTTTGTAGATTAAGCTCATGCTACCAACTTGGTTTCCTCAGTCCTGAAGGTGATATAAGATCCTTTGCATGCTGATATCGCAGACAAACTTTTACTGCCTTTTCTAGATTAGAGTTAAACAAAGCAAATAATTTGTCTATTTCCTCTCAGTAACCACAAAACATGTTGTCTTGGAATGTGATGTTTTCACACTCCTCTTTACTAATTATTGATTGCTTCCTATTGTTCATTTTCTGATTACTTAAGACAAAGTCTCAACCGAGGACAAAAAACAGATCTGATAAGGAGGCAGATCTTGAAAAGTATTATTTTTCTTGTCTTCTTCATTAGTGAGAGTTTAGGACATATAAATACCAAAGGAGGAGCACATTAAAAGTCAGGTGGTAAGGCCACCTAATTATTGCTGTATAAAAACCATAGGGCTCTTAAATGAAATTAACAGAACCAAAACTTTCTTAAGATCAGGGATCTTTTAATAGTTTTGTTCCAGTCAGTAGAAATCTCCCCTATAATGAGTTAAGCACAGTTTTTAAAATAGTTTTTATAAAAATTATATATAACAGACTCTGGATTGAGTTAATGGGGCCCAAAGGCTTTGCTGAACATCCAGGTTTTAAATTGGTACCTAAAAACATAGAAGAATCAGCACCAGGGGGAGGATGTTCCACAACTGGAGTGGCATGGTTGAAAAGACCTCTCCCAGTGCAGTGTTTTACCTCACTGGTGGTACATGGAAGAGGGTACCCTTCACATCAGATCTTGATTTTGGACAAGTCTATATGGGGAGAGGTGCTCCCTCAAGTATTATGGTCCCAAGCTATATAGGGCTTTAAATGTCATCACAAATGTAGTGCTTATTTAACTGATTAATCCTTCAATTTACAATACTTATCCATATTTTTTTTCAATGAATGTCCCTAAGAGAACATAACCTCCAAATGATATAACAAAGCAATTAGACTATATAAAATCACTATTGCACCCAATAAAACTCAATAAAATGAGTCATTAGAAACAATCATTATAGAAAGCTAGAGCAACTCAAGAGATATCTCAAGAAATATAACAATGGGCATGGATCAAAAATATAACATTTTCCCACAGTCAGACCTTAAACAGAACATAGGGTTCCTAAGATTAAACCGCAATGCATAACTGGGAAATGCTGAGCTTCAGAATGCTTATATTACAGATCAGTTAGGTACTGTTACTGCAGTTCAGAAGTAATCAAAGCAAACAATAAAACAAGAAGGTTATTCTCAGTGCAGTCCCTGAAGTATTTTATGATCCTCAGAGAAAAACACAATTTAATTGCTCGAGGCAGCTGCTTAAAAGATACAAATCACATTCTCCCTCAGGCCAGTTTATGATTTACAAAAGAGATTAAAATTACATCCTTACAGTTGTATAAAGGTAGAGGAAATCCTACATGGTACATCTAGCTGTAAGTTCTCAAATAAAAGGAGAAAACTTGCATATGGAAATGACTGCTCTGCCATTAGTGGGTGAAGAAAGAATCTCAATTGCTTCAGGAAGTCTGAGGATGTTATCATCTGTGTCTGCTAAAGCAGGTTCTCTAGAGCTAAACCCTTGGTAAATGGATCTTGCTGATATGGGAGGAAGCTTCCCTAGCCCTGCTTCTTACTGCACAAATCATTGCACAAATGCTTTTTAGATGGGCATTGAGCTGTATTGTGTGATAAGCCAGGGAAAGAAGATAGTGGAGATAAACAAAAAATAACCCTTTCTCTCCCCCCGCCCCTTGTTGGATCTCTCTCTTCATTTGCAGAGTGCAGCTTCACTGTAGAATTCATACAGTTTGACACCACGTTAACTGTTATGGCTTAAAGTTATAAAACCCTGGGAATTGTAGTGGCACAGGTCTTTAGCCTTCTTTGCTAAAGAGAAGGATTATCTGTTAAAAAGTCCCAGTGCCTTTCATGTCATGGGGAAGATACAGGTACCCAAGCAACAGGCAACTATAGTAGGGTAAAAAGAGCACCCAACTTGATTTTGAGTCTCAAGCATAATCTCTGGAGATCCAGAAGTGGGACAACAGCTGTTTGCTCCCGGCTTCAAAAGCAGTCAGCTGCTGCCCAGATATCCCAGGTACTTTCCTGGACATTAAATGGTGCTTACATAAACCTGTTCATTTTGACTTTTATTCTCAGATAGTAATAGCTGAGACAAAACTGTATATATTGTGATATTGGATTAGAGCTCTTCTCTCATGTCAGTAACCTGGTAAAAATACAGCCTAAGAAATCTTTATGGTCCACCTAATCTTAGTGCTCACTTTAATACCATAATACCAGTAGTTATACAGACATGCATTTAAATAATAACAATAATAATAACAATAACAATAAACTTTATTTGTACCCCGCCACCATTTCCCCTATGGGGACTCGAAGCGGCTTACATGGGGCCAGGCCCGAACAACAAATTACAATAAAGAGAACCAAAAACACAACCAAAAATGCAAACAATAAACATCATAATCACATAAAACATATGAACACATACCAATATAAAAATTTCAATAGGCACAGACATAGGGACAATGTTCGGGCTACATGTAATTATTAAAATAACTAATTAAAACTAATTAAAAACTCAGACAAGATAAAAGAGAGAAGCAGATAATATGCGGAGTAGTACTTATCATGGCAGGGTTTGTAGAATCAATCTTTCCCACAAGGGGGGGACGTCTACTCTAATGACAGAATTATCATCTAAACAGTCATGTGAAATTGTATATAGTGCCATTTGAGGAATATAGTGCAAATGAGTTTACAGTGAGATTCTGCAGTACAAAAAGTGGTAGCTATCTTGATTCTAACTTGCAACATTACAATTAATAATGTAGGAAAATAAGATTAAGGGTGGAAGGCAATTGGGGTGAAAGAAATATGGGAAACAGATCCATGCATTAGTATTCCTCTGTCACTTGAACCACGCACTGCTATTGTCAGGTGGCCTAGTCCGAGGTAGCAATTTTTCTTTGCTTTTCACATGTGTTACTGGCTTTTTTCTCTATTAAAGGGTACTATGTCACAGAACCCATGCTGGACTTCCTAAACTAACTTGCCACATCAGGTGTGGTGGCTAACATGTTGACTTAAGATTGAAGTATTAAGTCCACTTAAAAGGAGTTAAGGAGATGTTGTCTTATCCTTTCTCACAGACCATAACACAGACCTCAGGGATCAGGCCTGATTCGTTCAATAAATTCAGACATCAATTTATAACATGCATTACAATGATTAAATCCCTCAAAAATCCCAAGAACCATCACTGATTTGATGAAGATGGGAAGAAACTCTGATCCTATAGTATAGGCAAGGTGATATCCCCTACTCCCGAACTGCTGTTTTGATCTAACATGGTTAGACAAAGGCAAAACAGTGTCCATTTCCTCTAGAAAAAAATGAACTAGGTGATACCATTTCACAGTTCTTGATTTTGGAGAAGAATTTCCAAAGTCCTTTTCTCTGATTCACTGTATAATGTTACGCGTGATGGGGCTTTCAAAATGTGATTGGGATAGCTATCTTTCTTTTTGTATTCCTAATAGTTAAGGAAGTTAATTTAAGAAGCCTCTCTATTTCGTAGGATGTGTCATGTTCCTGCTTGCTGAAGTTCATAGGCAAATTCTGTGAGAAGTCAGCAACACCTTGTGATCCCTCTCCATGTCTGAATAATGGGAGTTGTACAGAGAAAGGAGAGAACTATCAATGCAGGTGAGATACTTCTAAACATTAAGTGGGCATGTTTTCTGAATGTTTTAATGTCTGTTGTTCCAACAAAATAAGGTCATGATGTGTCACAAGAAGACAGGTTCTATTTGGAGTTTGCAGAGGTGGGAAACTACAAACTGAAGCCAGAAAGAGCATTACAATGTTTCATCTAAAATTCTATAAGCTATAATATATTCTGTCCTGACTTAGGATGAAAGTGAAACAAGTTGGAAAGACAGGTCTCCTCTCCAGTGCATGCATAATAATGACAGCTTTGAAACGAGGAAGATTTAGATATCCATTCTTAATGCATAGACCTATGATCATAATTCACTAAATCATCAGTCAACAGGTTAAAAATAGGACAATGCTTTAAATAAAAAAGTACATGCTTTTGCATATGAGAGAAAAAGCCCAGGTATATATGTACTGAATTCTACTATGTTCTTATATAGATTTATGGGCTTTTTGCTCACACCATTAAGAAGTACAATTTGTTCTCTTCACACTTGCTTGACTTTTATTTGGCTGCCTTAAAGTGGGTTCTGTGATGCATTTTTCAAGTGCAGTAAACAAACTCAAAATTTTAAAGTATTCATAAAAGCAGAATATTAAAATCTGTGGTACATAAAAGGATTGCAACCCATTAGGGGGTGAACTTACGACATCCAAATATGTGATGGATGTGTTGGATACAGCTCCATAGGCTGAAAAGAATCTAAATTTGAAATATTTGCTATGTTTGTGACGAAACGGTGATTTGAAGGGAGGTGGGGGCAACTTGGAAACATGTTAATGTAATTTCTAAATGTTCTTGCTTAAGTTAAAACTAAGGGCAGAACTATACATTATCAGTTCAATGTGTGTCCTCAGAAATAAGCACAGAAGAGGCACTAAAAAATAGGATCCTCATCAATATTTCTCCCCTTCAGTTAGCATTTTCTTCTGCTTATTGTCTCTTTCAAGGAACAGTATGGGGCATTATAAAGAAGGATGTCTCTTATTGTTCCCAATTTGGGTTACGGATTATGTCAAAATATTCAGAAGAGATGTAAGTGCTAAACACCATTCCTGTATTGATTTAGGAAAGCTTCAAGACTGAAAACTCACTCCAACAAAATATAAAAAAACAAAAAGACATGTATCTCAGCAAAGTTAACTCTGAAATTCTGGATTCACTTGTGATTGCAGCATTGTCCTTGAAAGTAAGAAAAGTTAGTGCCTGGTTAGAATGAGTTTTGAATTTAAGGCATCTTCTTCCCATTGACAGTTGACAAATTCAAATAGTCTTCCTTAACCTATTTTGAAGATTCGCTTTACTGTGAAATTTGTATTTCTAGAGGAAATAATTTTAAAAAGTGAAAGAAGTCTGAGCATTGCTGTAATAAATTACTTGATTTTCCTTCAGGCATTTTCACAACTTTTTTTAGACAGTGAAGATGTTGCCTCAATGACACTTATTACTGCTTAAATATTCCTTGCCTTCATCATTATGCCAGTTCACAGCACATTTCTTTGTAACTGAACTTTAAATAATATGGGATTTAAAACAAGTCTTTGATGGATTATTACAACTAAATTAAGACTGACTTTCACCTCTCCCCTCAATTTTTTGCAGAATATATAAATGGCTGTTATCTATGCTAAAACCATATTTATTACAAACACTCTTCCCCTCTCTATATATACACATATTTTCTGCATTTGTCTTTATCCCCAGTTGGCTAGTTTTATTTGCCAGTGCAGCATCCTTAAAAAAATTGACTTCCCTTCCCCCTGTTGTAGCTGGGGGAAGAGGAGTGCTTTGCGTCCTCTACCCGCAAAGAGAATTAAAGGAAAGTAGCTCTGGCCACAGTTACTTTCCACGGGCAAAGCTACCTGACCCAGCACTCTGCCCCTCACCTCCATTCTCGTCCTGGACATTGATCCACCCTCCCTCCCATTAACAGTACAATTAAATTGGTCACCTTTGGGGCCAGGTAGGAATTTTTCTCTCCTATGTTCTAGAGGTTTTTTTTTTGCCTAACCTACTGTTTTTAGAGGGCAAATTGGGGAAGGTGTGGCTTTAAATAGGCATATGGGAAAACAGCAACGGATTTTATTTTGGTGTATATCCAAGGCATTGCCTTTTGTGTGTAGGCCAGGAACGGGAACCCTCGCCTTTGGTTCAAACAACCGAGGATGAATGGAAATGGCCTAGGAATGGGAGAGTCTGGCCTCAATAAATGCTTCGGGCAGAATTCTCTATCACGTTTCCCTTAGTGGTCACCCAGGGTTATAGCAGCTGGGGACTCAGGTGTTTTGCCCAAATAAGCTGAGAGGTAAGTCCCAGATGGTCATTGCCTCTGTTTTATCCACACCAAGTTTATGCCACACTTTAGAAACATCTGCAGGTTATAAAGTTACAAGTTTATTTAGGTAACATTAATAAAAGTTACCCATAGTTCAACCCATACTTGTTATGTTGTCTCTTTATTTCAGTGGTTAGGTGGCAAATGTCCAGAATTTATATGAAGAGCCCTCTAAAACTGACATGACCCCCTAAAAAGCACCTCTTCCCCTCCTGAAAATTATTTACATAGTAGTAATAGTAGTTAGTAGTAATAGTATTAGTGATATACTAGTAATTTGCTGCCATTTCATGAAGCTCCAAACTTATTAATGAAAAGGCTGGCCTTGGAGACCAAAAATGACGTTACTTGATGATCTTCATTTTTTAATATTTAATCTTAGGGATTGAAAGATATAAAAATATTTGTAAAATGGTTGAACAATATGTTTCCAAGTTCTGTGAAATTCCTATATAAAGAATCTTGGATAGACAAGATTTTTCCTAGCTTTGAACTCATTCTACACCAGTGATAGAATGGGAATTTGCCCGTTTTCCTAAAAGGGTCCAAAGTGGAATTCTGATCTCTTCATAAATTGGTAAAGGAAACATAAACATCCTGTAGATTTGCTGGGTTTTTTCCTCTTTCCACAGCTGGACAGCTTTGATTGAAAGATGTCCAGCTTTTCCACAGTACTGTATTTCTGCAACTTCTATGTCTTCCCCTTGCCCAGCCCCAAAGTTGTACAGAAATTGTCATACACAAAAAGATGTTAAAGCTGTCAAACCAACTGAGGTGGGGTGGGAGCATGAAGAATGTTACCATGAAGTTGAGAGTTCCTTTGAAAGATTGGGGGCAAAGCCTTGTGGAGGTAAATGGGGACATTGTACGAGATGTTTGGCAGCTGATGATCTAGTTTCTGTTTTTCTGTAAAGTCCTCCAAACCCCAATTCTGATTAGAGTCTGTGAAAAGATATTTAATTTTCCTCTTGTTTCCCCTTCCCCAGCTAGTTCGACAATTAAAATATCTTTCCTCAAATTGTAAATAATCTGCAAAGAAACTATATTTTTGATGTTTTTCTCATAGAAGAAAATATTTCTGAAATCACCCATTACTTCTTCAAGGAGAAAATTAGACATGTTTTACACCTCTAATTGCTTGGTTATTCTGACAACATGACAGGGTTAAAATAAGTTAAAAATGGGGAATTCAGAGTATTGGAAGGCTGAAATAAAATGGGAATGAGAAAGATATTTAAATGGTGGTATGATAGTGGCAATTAGGACTTTTTATTTCCTCCTCCTCCTTCTGCACCACCTGCTTTGTCCATTATAATTGTAGATTTTTTTCTGTAAAAAGAATTTTGTGAATGCAGTAAAAAAAATCTGCTACCACCATTGTTACAAATGTAGCTTTTAACTTGCTAAAGTGACATAAAGGGGGGGGACCTGTAACTAGCACTACATAACTCCCCACCTATCCCTCCACTTTTCTGACCCCAAAGTAATGTGTTATTTTATTTTGGGATGGAGAACCCATAGCCATAAAATGTTATTGGACTGCAGTTTCTATTAGTCCTAATTTGTATGAACAATGGTCTAATACAGTGATGATTCTTTGATCCAATACCATTGAAATGGAGTTTCCACAAGTCACCTCATTCTAAGAAACAGTCTAGCATATGAATATGAGGTGCTGCATCATTCATTCTTCTTTTTAACAAAAAAAAATCTAAATGGAATTGAGTTTCATCCATTGTGTTCCAGTTGTCTAGTCTTAAGGTGAAGCTGATTACTTGCCTCTCTCAATTTGAATAAATTTTTCAACTTATATCTATCAACTTCTTGGATTTTTCTCAACTCATTCTTGCTTTTTGTTTGCAAATTGCTCTTTTCTATTCTACACATATCACCAAACAGATTCAATTTAATTTTTTGCACTTCAACTGTGATATACAACTACTTTAAATCGTAATGTCATCCTGTTGCTCTTTATATATTTTACAGGCTTTGGTAAGGAACCTAATATACCATTTTCCTCCTTCAAGTGTCAGAACCTAAGAGGAATAAAGATAGTAAAAAGTTTGTTCTACCTAGCCTGATAGCTCATAATAATTCTTCATCAAGTTTGGGTTTTCATGCTTATTATAGCACTAGTATAAAGCAAGAAAGAAAGTTTTCAAATACATTATGGATACTTTAAATTTTATTTGACCTAAACTTCAAACATATATTTAAATTAACATATCTTTTTAGTAAGATAAATATAAGAGTTTGCAAAATAGCAAAAGGTGTATCTAAAGCAAAAAAAATGTTAAAAAAACCCATATGCCAGAATGCTTAATCTATTCATGAATGCGGAGCAGGTTCTTACATTTATCTGAGGCTGGGAAGCCTTTGTACATATAACATGCAAAGGCATACATTGCACTGGGAACCCTGCACAGTGAGTATTCGTCATCTTTGCTGGACTGCATCATACCTAATAATAGCCACTAGAAATAAGCACAAAGCATTATCTGATGGAGACATCTTTATTTATTAGATACCAGGAAGATCAACATACTTAGTAGGGGTGTACTTCAGCTAAACCCCATGCCGTTTTCAGTGTTGGATTTCTGTGGCCCCCCGATCCATTTTGGGGGGGACTCCCAAGTTCTGCCAGGTAAAATTCCGTTTTTCGATCTGGCAGCTAAAAAATCCATTTTTGCTCCAGGAAAATCCAGCCCATTGGTGACAATGAGGGAACTTCCCAGGTTCCCCTTTCCATCATTTTGTTCTCCTCATATCCTTCAATTAGACCTGGGTTTAAGGCATCAGACTTAAGAAACCACATTTTCTGGCATCGTTTCTTATCTGATCCTTCAATAGCATTTGGGTTAAGGCATCAGTCTTAGGAAAACACCTTTTTTGGCATTGTTTCTCCTCAAAATCCTTTCAATGAAACTGAACTAAGGCACCCTTTTAAAACATATATTTCAGTGGGAGCCACACCACCTGAAGGAGCATTAGCCATTCTTTTAAAAATATATAAATTATCTTATTTAATAGTGGCAAGAAGATACCTCTACCCCACATTTGAAGTTTGCCTTTTTTTGAAGGGCACCATCAGTGAACTGCTTATTTATTGTTATTTGAGTCAAAAAGCAAGCCAAGCAGAGCTGTGAGTGGCACTGAGAATTTAGATCTTTCTCAGAAGCCTGCTTGCAACAGAAAAATGGAAGCCCAGCTTGGCTAAAAGACATGTCATGGCTTTCTCCTGTTCTCATTGGCTCAACAGGCAGGACTCACAGGGAAACCCTGTGCATATGCAGCTGTCTCTCCGTGCTCCACAAATGAAACCTATCTGATGAGGTCCCAAATCTACTGCCTGTGAACAGCCCATTTCTCTAGTGTCTTCCTTCCTTCTCAGTTGCAGTTTCACAGCTTTTTTTTCATCTACCACATGTCTCCAGAATAAAAAACAGGATTCTGGTCTATTGGTTGGTGCTCAATTGTTGGACATGAGTGGGTAAAAAGGTACTATGCAGGGTTTTTTTCCCTTATGGAAATGCCAGGATTTGGAATCTCAGTCCATCTCTACATAGTACAACTGATTTCCCTTATTAATTAAACATCCCATGATTCCTCAGGGAGAATGACATTCTACTGTGAATATTTTGACTTATATGATTTTTTTTCTATTTGTTAGCAATTCTCAATGTTTTTCCATTTACAAAAAAGAATACCTGAAAACATCAGGTATGGTTTAGGCAAGGTTAGTATCACCATCCAAACAGTAGGCACTTGGCACAACAGAAGTAATGCCAGAGAGAAAATAATCAAAACTGAATCATTTTCATAAATTGACATTTAAACCACTACAGGGCAGAAACTTTGGTTCTTGTCTTAAAAGAAAATCTATAATTAGAGTTACAGAAAATAAAAAAAACATGTCATTATTCACTAACTGTTGTTTCCTCAAGCCTCTGTGTATCATTACTGACTATTAGGGCTGGGCGGTTTCGTTTCGTTAATTCGTAATTCGTTAATAATTCGTTAATTTTTTCAATTACAAAACGATAACGAACCATTCTGGAGCAATTTAAAAAAAAACGAATTTTCAAAAACGTTTTGTAAATGCTTCGTATTTCGATATTGTATTCATTTCGTTATTGTTTTGAGGTCGTTTCGTTATTATTTCCACATGTCTGGGCCAGTTTTATGGTTTAATTAGTGAAAAAAAATTATAATATCACACCAACAGTCAACAACAGAGGGAGAGGGAAGCTTCAGAAGGTTTTGGAGGTTTTTTAGCATATTTCGCGGTCGCGTCCGCCATTAACGAATCGATTCGTTATTGTTTCGGAAATCGATTCGTTAATTTTTTACCATTTACGAAATTTCGTAAATATCGAACTTTTTAAAAGTAAAATTTTGTAATTATTTTAAATATCGAAACAAAAAAAACCCCCAAATACAAATCGATTTTAGAAACAAATTTTTCCGTTGTTACCCAGGCCTACTGACTATGGTTAGCATACCCATTATGTAGTGTTATATAGTGATCATTTGCTCACTGTTCTAAATCTCATTTGTCATTATTTTTCTGTTTCCCAGTAATAGAGCCATCTATTCTAATAGCTTCTCAAGGCTCCTATAAAGAGTTTGCTATTAGGTATCCATTTAGCTCAAGGTTGATTACATACATGAGTTTCTAGAAGGTTATATTCAACATCAATATAGGGTTTTAAAAAAATTCAATAAAAAGACAAAACCAGGGTGGAGTTGTTTTTTTAAAAATCAAAAATCAATCTAATCTGGATAATTTACTGAAAATGGGTTGTTGGGGTTTCTAGTGACATTTATTACTTATCTTACAAATATAACAAGGACCAGAGTCTTAATAGAAGCATGTTATTCGGTGGAACTGTGGAACTAATTAAATGGAATTAGTGCTTTAAAATTCAAGTCTTCTGAAATCTGCTCTGTATTTACAGCTGCATGCCAGGACACACTGGAAGGAACTGTGAGCAAGTAATTGACTACTGCAGGCTGCTCAGCATCAACTGTCTGAATGAAGGATTGTGTCTCAACATAATTGGAGGATTCAGTGTAAGTAATTTAATATGGTAAATGAATTCAGAGGTTCAAAAATATGAAAAGCTCGGCCAGCCTGAACTTTAGAAAAAATGCATCTCACTCCTTGGTCCCACCCCATAGAGTAAAGAAAAAGCAATACTTTTATGTACTTGGTATATACTTCAGTCAATAATACAAGAAGTATTAGCTCTGGTAATATGGATTTTTTTTATTACTTCTCTGCTGAGATTCTGTTTTAAACTGAATCAGATAACTGGACATTTTTATCCTTGCAAGAATATATGGCTAATTTGTGGATCAGTGCCAGATACCCACTTAGAGGAAAATCAAACTGATACCATAATATTCATTTTCCCCCTATTCATTCTTCTTCTTTTAACCAAAAGGTAGTCAGTGAGTTAGACAATCACTTAAATAAATTGTAAGGAATTACTCTGATTTCAAGGTAGCAGAATAATATGGTTTTTTAATAACTTTTATTTCATGTTCTGTTTCTGCAAAATGAAGTTTTACACCACATGTTTCTTCCCTGGACAAATCAAGAAATTGCTTGATTCCCACACCTTTCAGATATTTGAATACAGAAGTACAAGTTAAGGATAAAGTGGCCTCAAAGAAATAATTGGGATTGATGTTATTTATGATTTAAACCAGCTGAAAGTAGGGTTTCAATTCCCAAATTCTGTTTCCAAGTATGGGCTTTGCTTACTACTCAATTCCAGGCAGAAATTAATTTCTCATTAGATATTATATCTGAGCCTAGAACGTGAACAGAATATGCCTCCTTACCTTATTTTTTCCAGACTAATAACTTTGATGACCAAGAACCGTTTTCTGACCCCGAATTGACCAAATATGATACCCTAGTGGGTTTTTTCTTCATTCCCTCTCTTTCTCCCTCATCCCTTCACATTCTTTGCCTTCCACATGCCTGAATACTGTCATGAAAGTTTGGAACAGATTCTGAAGAAATGGAGAACATGGAGAACACTAAAGTGGGAACAAAAATGATACATATTTGGGAACTTGAACTTTTCTTAAAATTGAAATCAAGTTTTGAGTTCTTTTCCAATTTCTAATGGAGGAATTAAAGTTTTGTGATAGAGAATTTGTTTTGCTTTGTATGTAAAAAGTCCCAGGGTCAAATGTTGACATCTAACAGTTAGAGGATCATGGGAATGAAATTTCCATGGATCACTTGGATTGTTGAATAAATAATTTGACCTAGTATTAAGCAGCTTTTATGAGCTTATATTTCAAAAATAGGCTAGGACAGAGCAGTAAAATGGGCCAAAATCCTTGCATTCAAAGGGTTTTTTTCCATCTTGCATATAATAGCAGGCATTAACATAAATATTTTTAGCATAGGCCTGCTGCAAGCGGGCAGAAGTCAGATGGGCTGGATTTATGTTTCTTTTTCAGAAAAAAAATCCAGTAGGCATGCTGATGCAATAGTGCAAAGGAAAGACCCAGCTTTTTTTTTGTCCTTTTAGTTATCTAGTTCCCCAACTATTTGCACCTGGTAATAATATTTATTGCAGTCTAAGGATTAGAATGTTTAAGTAGTTTCATTTATCAAAATTCATGCTATTTGTGTGTGGTGGTAAAAGAAAAATTGCTGATATCAAAGTGCTAATTAAGTAGATTTCAATAGATGGGAGAAAGGATTGAAATTCACAACAAAAGCTTTTAAAAATAGTAAATTAAGCTTTTGAAAAAAAGAAAAAGAAAATACTTACTAGATAGTGGGGAAAAATAAGATTATCCCAGAAAATATGGCTGTATAGTCAGTATGGTTTCAAAAATAACAACAACCTCATTACACATACTTCTCACTTAGAATGTAGTATGAGACCATGATGAAGATTTCTGAAAAGATATAGCTAAACAGGCCGGTATGGAGAAGGCTGGATTTTGTTTTGCCTGAGAGAAGAGCCTAGCAGGATGCAATATATGCTTGGAAACTAACAGAACAGGCCTCGGGGACCGACAAATAATGTCGGTCAGACAAAGTGGAAGAAGCATGAAGAAGAGGATTAGAGTACTTGGCACGAATTACTGGTGTTTTTGCTGAGGATTCATATTGTACTGAAACACAGTGCCCTAGAAGGCACACACAACTCAGGATTAAACTATCACCATTCTCTTTTCAGTGTGTCAGTCCCTGTTGTGGCATCTTTATCTGGGGCTGTAGGCAGCTGCACTTGCTTTAATCTGCCAACATTAAGGATGTCTTTCTCTGACATTTATGAACATGGGCCAGTTATTTTTTTTCCTTTTAGGTTTTTCATTTCCCTTTGTTCCTAATCTCATTTCATTCTTCCATCCAGATGGTGTCTGTGTATAGTCACATATTACCCATACAGTGAAGTTTCTAAAATGTGCTCATCAATGCAAAATAATGTCAAGAAATTAGAAAAAAATATATACTACCAGGCATATATTTCAGAATCAACCAAGACTATTTTTCACAGGGTTTAATGAAGTAATTGCTGTCTGATAGATTAAGATTAAACCTTTTGGAACATTTACCCCATCTTTGATACTACACCTATTAAAAGTAGGAATGAATTTCAAATGATTCCTACCATTTGTGCAAAAGTTGTTCCCATACTTAAAAGAAAAGATATTTGTCTAAAACTGAAATCCTGGGACTTTAAACTGGAATCCAAGGTAGTGTATTGAAGAGCATCTTAGGAAGCTTTTTAAGAGTAAAATCAAGAGTAGTTTAACTGCCCTGCAGATAGTAAAGTGACTGGCCATGGCCACCAACAGTGAAAGAAGACAGAAAAGACTGACAAATCACTATCAGAATTTCATTGTCTTCTGAATTACTTCCATAAACTATTTTCATGAATGACAATAAATAAATCGGACCCAGATTATATGTTTTGCACATTTTGGAACTTTCTGTGCCATTTGTGAACATGGACCATCTATTTTCTACTTCTTCTAAGAATGTGTCCAATGATTTCTTTTTCAACAACATTGTTAATTTGTCCATGTTTATTGTTTCCAACATCATGGCTGTTCAGTCTTCTACGGTTGGTATTGGAATATCTTTTTGTTTTCTACGTTTACATAAAATTCTTGCCACTGTTAACATGTACTGCAGTATTCTCTCATTTTCTTTTTTTATTTGATCATCCAGTATTCCTAGTAATGCATATGCTGGCTTGAGGTTGATTCTTGTTTAAAGAATTTCTTGGATTACCCCATGAATTTTCACCCAGAATTTTTTGGCCTTTTCACATGTCCAACACATATGGTAATAAGAATCTGTACTGAAGGAAAATCAGCACTTGTTTTTACTCATTGAAGATTGCAATGCAAAAATAGAAAACAAAGTGAAATAAAAGACTGTAGGAAAATCAAGAACTGAAATAGGAGAATGACTGAATATTGTAAGGCTAACAGTTTGTTTATTACAAAGACATGTTTCAATTGGCAAGGAGATCAGTTGCAAGTCTGCATTTTATCACTCTATCTGTTTAATTTGTAAACTGTATTTTATCATACATAAAACAGAAATAGATTCAGTGGAAGATGGCATGAAAATTGGAAGAAAGAATATTAACTGTTTAAGATATGCAGATGACACCAGAGTACTAGCAGGAAACAGCAAAGACTTAAGATAATTAAGGAGGAAAATAAAAGAAGAAAGACAAGTTTACAATTGAACATTAAGAAAACAAAAAATAATGACTACAGATGATTTCTGCAAAGTAAATAATGAAGGCATTAAAGTAGTTCACGATTTTCTATATCTTAGCTCAGTCTAATCAGAATAGACATTGCAATCAAGAAATCATTCATAGACTTACCATATGTAAAATGCAATTTGATAGAAGTCAACAGCAACCTCATACTATATAAGGAACAAACAGCTGTATTTATGGGCTGCCACTACCACTAGAAATTCAGCTGGAAAGTTTAGTTACATTTTATTTAGCTAACCAGAATTTAAAACCTGTTTTGGGACATTACCTAGAAAATTTACTGCTCATTTCTGTAAACAATCTGTGCTTTGAAAAACCAGGAGAAAAGAAAGACTTGATCGCACAGATGAACTACTTGATAAACAGAGCATAAACCTGAAAGATCTTTCAGTTTCACAAAGTCCTGCTGTGTTAACTTCTACCAGTTGGTATTGATTTACCAATTATTGCCACAGAGTGTTGTATTGATGAACCTGAGTATACTTACCAACAGTTGTAAAACTGGACATGCTTGGGCCTGCTGAGCATAATTGTTGCTGAACCTCAAAAATATGCTTAATCTTATTCCCCCCCCCCCTTAAGAAGCAGGTTTTGTTTTAAAAAAAAACAGTAGTCATGCTATTCCTTGTCCAGTAGATTCAAACTACAAGACAGTCATTTTTGGCTATTGTATCAGTGAAAGTACAGTCTTTAAACAGCAATTTTGCTGTCTCTCCATTTGCCTGCCCTTTGCCATCACTGTATTCTATTTAACATCATTTATTCTATTTTAGATAGACCTGTACTAATATTTTTAATTCCATTTATTTTTTATGCTTAAGGATGGATTTTCATTTAGATATTTGTTTGATTTATAAATTACTATGAGTGCTATTTCGTGAGCAACAACAACAGCTGGTCCCTTCTTGCAGTGTTGAAAATATATTAAGCTCTATCGTGGCATTCAGGATTATGTTAACTTGAATATGTGAGTAAAGTAGCAATTTATCTCAGTCCCACTTTAATCACATGTAGGGTTGCTATGTTGAAAAAGGATGGCATCAGTGTTATGCATCTAGCTATAATAATACAACTGGATGCTAACAACAACAACAACAACAACAGCAACAACTTTATTTTTATACCCCGCCTCCATCTCCCGAAGGGACTGGGGGCGGCTTTGCATGGGGCCAAGCCCAGTAATACAGAGTTAAAACATAGCATATAAAATATAACAGTAATATAAAACAACATAAAAACAACATTATACCAATAATAAAACAATAAACAACCATCATAAGCAACAACCAAGGA